TGTCTCAAAGAAACAGACAGGCCCTCTAAACTAGACTTGGAAGAATGCTAAAGCAAGCCTTACTTTTCCAAATAGATCGGAGGGCTGACATGCTGCATCAGTTTTCTTTCTGTTTTAAAAAAATTGAAATATATATATATATATATATATATATTGAAATATATAAATATATATATATATAATTGATTTTAGAGAGGAAGGAAGAGGGAGAGAGAGAGATAGAAACATCAATGATGAGAGAGAATCATTGATCCACTGCCTCTTGCATGCCCCCTACTGGAGATCAAGCCTGCAATGGGGGCATGTGCCCTTGACAGGAATCGAACCTGGGACTCTTCAGTCCACAGGTCGATGCTCTATTCACTGAGCCAAACCAACTAGGGCTGCATCAGTTTTTCATTTATTTATCAAGCATTCACTACTGTCTATTGTCCTGAGAGGTGAGGCAGTGCTTCCCTGTGGAAAGAACATCTCCTTAAATTGAAATATAAAGACCAGTTCAAGTTCTTCAGTTGACAGGAGGCAGAAGTTAACTGAAGGGTATTCTAGGCATGGGCAGCAGCAGATACAGAGACCTGGAGATGAGAGAATGTCTCACAGATTTGGGATGGAAAGTGCTTCAGCTGGCTGAAGCCCAGGTCAAGAAGGAAAATTAGGGAGTGATGAGGATGGAGAGGCAATGAGGAGCCAGAGGAATATTTATTGAGTAGGTTAGAAATTTACCAAAATGCCTCAATAACATCGATTCCAGAACTGTGGGCTTAGTTGGGGCTCAAAAATGATTTCTTTTTTAAAAATATATATATTTTTATTATTATCTTTATTTAAAAATATATTCAGAGAGGAAGGGAGAGGGAGAGAAAGATAAAAACATCAATGATGACAGAGAATCATTGATCAGCTACCTCCTGCACGCTCCTTACTGGGGATTGAGCCTGAAAGCTGGGCATGTGCCCCTGACTGGAATCCAACTGGGGACCCTTCAGTCTGTTGGCTGGTGCTCTATCCACTGAGCAAGACCAGCCAGGGAACAAAAATTATTTCAAATGATAAAAATATAGTTACAAAAATTAACTTATGCATAAAATATCAATTACATTCTGGAGATTTGCCACCAATGAGCTACTGATCTGAAGGGGAAGCATTGTTCTCTGATCTGGCTATACATATTTTTTCTAAAAGCAGGTGACCTCGTCAAACTTTCACTATCACTTTGGATCAAGGTTTTCATCACCTGGAAGTAATGCCCACACATGACCCTCTTACTCTTAAACCAATTCAGCATTACCTGGTATTGGGCTTTTTAATTATTATTATTACATCAGGATCCTGGTTTTCTTTATTACTAAACAGTACATAATTATCACTAACTAGAATGTGAGCTACATTAGGGCAGAAGCCTGCCTCAGTCAAGATCATGTCCACTGCACCTAGCAGAGTGCACATGAGCATGGGCACTTTTAGATATTTGTGCAGTAAGTTAAATAAATAAATAATCCTGGCATTTCGCCTTGTCATTGAAAATACTTCTAAGCATCATTCCTACTGGATACCTAATACTTGTGTCGGCAGTTGCATAATGCAATGCTTTAACTGGAACAGGGAGAAATGTGGAGGTGAGAATGGACTATGGGCAGGATAGAGGTGAGGAGCACAAGGAAGCACAACACAGGAAGAAACCCAGGGGAGCGTTGATGAGAACTTGACCTGGACAGTGAGAACAGAGATGCAGCCATGGGAAAAGAAGCGGAAAACACCCTGGTGTCTGATGTGTGCTTGTAAAATATTCTAATCCTCCATGACATATCTTTATGCTCATATAATTATATGTAAACTAGAGGCCTGATGGACGAAATTTGTGCAAGAGTAGGCCTTCTTTTCCCCAACTGCTTAAATCAATCTCCTTCTGGCACCCGGGACCTGGGCTCCCCTCTGGCCCCGGCTTTGTCAGGAAGGACATCCGAATGATATCTGGTCAAATTAGCATATTACCCTTTTATTATTATAGATGAGCATATAAGTATATGTACATAGACATATATTTACTCAGCTAGTAAGTGCTGACCTTTTGCATGATCTCAGATGGTAAATGTATTCTCTCTTTGATCTTTTCCCTCTCCCTATGGTGGTGGTTGTTGTTGGCAGAAATACAGCTTCATGAGAATTTTCACAAAAGTGCAGACTGCCCAATTTAAGATGAGGAGGGACAATATTATGCTGGATGAAGGGATGCTGCAGTCGCTGATGGAGCTTCCGGAGAAGTACAATTATGGCCCGTACGCCAAGTTCATCGATGACTACGGCACCCATTACATAACGTCTGGATCAATGGGTGGCATTTATGAGTATTTCCTGGTGCTTAACAAAGAAAAAATGAAAAAAAAGCGTGAGTAGAAGCTTTATGCACACAGTGGCCAATGCCTACACCAGAACATGGTTTGCAGTTTGCTGAGCACTGACTAGGATCCGTTCATGATCTCATTTGGTCCTCATGACAACTCTATATGGTATCTTTGGTGTTATTACAGGGGATTGAGGTCCAGAGGGTAAAACAGATGTGCTAATTAAGCACTGAAAATGTGATTTTAGTTCATACTTGTCTGGCTCCTTAAAACTGTGTTTTTATTTCACCATGGTAACTTCTTTAGTAATAATCTAGGATTTTGCTATTTAAAACATTAAAATTTATTTCAATGGAGATTCTAGGTTCATGGAACCACCATACCAGTCAGTCAGTGATGACAGAAAACTGGAGTCATTCCAGACTCTTCCTCCTCCATCTCCCTGGGGATCTCTAAGACCCTTCAGTTCTCTCCCCTGAACAGCTCTCATTCATCTGCCTTCTCTACACCCACTCCAGCAGTGGTAGGTGGGCTCCCGTCTTTCACTCATTACTGCATGGACTCCAGATAGTTTCTAGGGGAAGGTATACCCCTTCCAAGCCATTCCCAACTATTGCCACCAGAAGGATCTTTTTGCTTCACAGATCTGAGGATGTCACTTTCTTGCCTAATTTCCTGAATGGCCAAGAACAAAATCTAAACTTTTTAGCATGACATCAACATAGTCTCACTCCAAACTTCTAGAATAGTGGTCCTCAAAGTGTGGACTCCAGCTGGCAGCATCAGCGTTACCAGGGAAGCTGTTAGAAGTGCAAATTCTCAGGCTCCCATCCCAAACCTACTAAATTAGAAACTGTGGGAGTGGGCCCAGTGGCCCGTGTTATGACAAGCCCTCCGGGTGATTCTGGTGCTCACTAGTTTGAGAACCACTGACCTGATCCATAAATGAGTAGAAGGGTGAGAGATCTGTCCATATTTCAAAGCTAAGGTCAAATTCTCAGTTTTAGGAAGTTTCCCCGACTGCACCAGCTCAGGCTGGCCACTTCTTTTCTTCAGCACATTCATATAAATTCCACACTGGTTGGTCTTAAAAAAACAATTTTCCAAATGTTAATATTTTTCTCCTCATGTAGATGGCAAGATCTTTAAAAGCAAGTATCATGTCTGCTGCTTTTCTTTCTCTTTAGCACTCAGCATGGGGCTTAGTATGTAGTGAGTGTGCAAAGTAAGACATGGAATTTGAAAGGGGCATGCATTCAGATTCGTGGCTAGGGCCACTCATTGGTTCAGCCATGTATCCCCATATTCATTATTCTTTAATAATTCACATGCTTATTGAGTATCTATGGTGTGTTGGTGCTGGGATACAATGGTGAGCAAATCTAAATATGGTTCCTACCCTCTGTAGCACAGTAGTCTTCTAACTGCAGGGTGCAGCCCCATAGAAGGACCTGAAATCAATGTATGGATCACAAATGGCATTTTGAACAACAAAGGGTAGAATAGAAAATACCATAGTGGATTGATTGTAGGCAGTGCAGGTAAGTTATTGCTTCAAGAACCTTTTTTTTTTTCTCCAGTTAAATACAGACACGTACAGAGTCATGATACAAAATAAATAATGTAGTATGGATCAATGTAAAAAAAGAGTTTGAAAAACTCAATTCAAGTGGGTCTTTTTGGAGTCATTCTGAAACATGAGGAAGGAAAAGAGGTAACATTTGTTGAGTATCTACTAGGATCTAGGTCAGTGACGGCGAACCTATGACACATGTGTCAGAGGTGACACACGAACCCATTTTTTGGTTGATTTTTCTTTGTTAAATGGCATTTAAGTATATAAAATAAATATCAAAAATATAAGTCTTTGTTTTACTATGGTTGCAAATATCTAAAAAATTATATATGTGACACGGCACCAGAGTTAAGTTAGGGTTTTTCAAAATGCTGACACGCCGAGCTCAAAAGGTTCGCCATCACTGATGGAGGTCCTATGGTGTATATTCGCATTTAATTTTCTTGAGGACATGTGGAGGCTAGTGTTATGACAGTTTCAGCCCCAGAAAGGCTGAGGCTCCTCAGGGGCGTTAATTACTCTGCCCAGAGCTGCAGGAAGTTGGCCTCAGAGCCCTGGACCCATGGTCTTTCCACCATGTGGTCATGGGAAAGCCTTTCATTTGGACTCCGTCTTGGGTGTTGGATTACTAATTAATTGCCTGGATTATCGCATGGCCCCTCCTCTTTAAAATCTGTGAGGCAGAAATGGGCTTCCTATGTGGTTAATATTCAAAAGGAGCCCACTAACAAATTGTCCCAGGGATAATTACCTCAGCTCTGTTTATAGAAAACCATATGTCGATAATAGCACAATTGGCTATTTGTGAAGGGCTGATTTTCTATAAATCTGGAAAGTTAGTGTTGCTTCTCTATAAATATGGAAATGTGCTAATCATCACCTCATCTGCTGGAGCCCGCTAATAAATCAGAATGTCATTTACATGTTAACCTACAAAGAACAAAACATCTACCTTCTTTGCCTTTGACAAATGGAATCATGCACAGCCTCTCTCCATGTTCCACATTTGTCTGGTTTCTCTTTGTCTTTTTTAACCTTCCTCTCTCTCACTCCCTTTCTTTCTTGGTCTCTCTTTCTGTCTCTGTCTTTCCTCTTTGTCACTGTGTATATTTAATCTATCTGGATTTAATAATATTTATGTTTTATTAAGTGCTTATTTCTACGAAACTCCCTATGTGGTATACACATTCATGCCCCCAAAGAGCTGGGTGAGGCATGGGAGCACTTAAGTGAACACTGGCTGGTTTGCTCCGAGGGGATCTTTTGTTTTGGGGTTTCTCTCAGATCCTCCCTGGGTTCATCCTAAGGGTGCACAAAGCTGTTTGCTCCAATGTGTTCTTTAGACAAAATGCTTCTCCACCAAAGACAGCATGAAACAATGCATCAAAAACCAGGTGAAGCCTTGGATGTTGGGGCAGTGATGCTGGACTTCAGTGGGACCCTAGACTTTCCTCAAGGGCTGTGGCTCACAGTGTTCTACCTTCTGTAGGAATCAGGATGGCTTTGGGCTTGAATGTTTGAATTCCATTTTTTTTTCTCCTTCTTCATCCCCTCTTTGAAGATCTTACTATTTGTTTTTGGGTGACAATGACAATAATGTATTGACATGGCTTCCCTGGAATCTGGACCAGTCACAGATCTGATCATTCACCTCGGGCAGGTCAAGTACTGCAGTGACATTGCTCTGGTCATATGTGTTTCCTGCCTCCCTGTGTACATGCTATGCTGTCAGCATCCAATGCTCTTCCCTATCTGGCCAACCTGACAGATTCATCATTCTTCTGAACCCATGTGGGCATTTCCATGTCTGTGAAACCTTCCCTGGCATCCTTCCGCCCCTTCTCCCATGATTTTGTTTTCTTAAACATTCACTCTTTCAACCATGTTTATTGGATTTGCATTATGTGCCAGGTGAACAAAATCAATATGGTCCCTGTCCTTGCAAAGCTCATGATCTAGTACAGAAAATGAAATAAACAGCCCCAACTCCAGAAGTCATCTTGGTTCTTCCTTCATGCTGTCACAAATGGCAGGATTTCCTTATTTTGTAAGGCTGCTAATAGCCCATTGTATATCTGTGCCACATTTTCTTTATCCTTCATCTGCCAACTTGGGTTGTTTCTTTACCTTGGCTATTGTGAATAATGCTGCTATGAACATAAGAATACAGGTATCTTTTTGAAATAATGATTTTGCTTCCTTCAGATATATAGCCAGAAGTTGGATTGCTGGATCATAGGGTAGTTCTATTTTTAATTTCTTGAGGAGCCTCCATACTCTTTTCCCAAGTGTCTATACCAGTTTATATTCCCACCAACAGGGGGCAAAACAGTCTCCTTTTCTCTACATCCTTGCCAACATTTGTGATCACTTATCTTTTTGATAATAGACATTCTAATAGATGTGAAGTGATATATTATTGTGGTTTTGATTTCT